AACATTAGAATCAAAGTCAAAGAAATCAATAAAAAAAACAATATATTGCAGCAAAACTTACCCACGAAGAGGCTAAACAATATTGAGGACATGAATGACTTCTTKCCWTWATGACTCASCATGCTGACGCCTAGCATGTATCATGCATCGTCCATAATTTTCTAGCAAATCCTCCTTACCGTCTTTTTATAATTTCTCCCTCCCACTCTACTCATTTGAACAATCTGAAAATTATATTTGGTACAACTGCCTTCTTTAATTCTGCATTTTCTAACAATGCACTTGCCAAAACCCAGTTATGCCTGCCCAACATTTCGGTATGTTAATCCAACTTTCTTTTAATGTATTGTAGATCTTGTCCGTGATCTTCCAGTATGCGCTTATGCTTCACTGAGTATCCTAGTACTTGCTTAGCGAATGACTCTAGAATATAAAAGTTATTCTTACACTCTGTATATGGCAATAACCAACAACGAGATAATAAGATTTAAATGTGTACTTTCTAATAACTAATCATGATAATGATATTTTGAAAAATTATGAGAAAATCAATTGATTATGAGATAATAATATATGTAAAGAGTCACTCTGTACGAAACTTACCCATATATGTTGGTATTTTTCACCCTCTACCGACATCTTATGGCGTGCGGAAGTATCTGAAAAAAGATTAAATAGCAGCTTTATTTTTGCTTTATGTTGAAAGAAAAAATATACTTTTAGTGAACCAAGTATTAAGTAAAGAACTATTCGAAAAACACTATTTATAATAAGGTTTCTTACCAGTCTGTTTGTCACCAATAAGAGAACTACCTTTGAGTGGAGTAAAGTGACCAGAAGTTGGTGTTGACAGGGTCTCATTTCGAAAATTGGTACATGTGGTCCTACATGAAGTAGTAGGGTATTCAAACTGCACATTTTGACCTAGCAAAAAACTAGGACTGTTAATATTAAAAACACTAAATTGATGGCCACCCTGACCAACAGTTATTTGATCTTCCTCAGTTGGTTTTTCTCGAAATTCTAAGGAACTTTCCGATTCTCCTAAGATGCTTGATGATACAATTCGTGCTTTTCTCAGCCTTTTTCTTGGCAACTCACATTCCGAGTCCGAGGTATCTGAAGTCACACAGGCCTTATTTGATCGTAAACTGGCTTTTAAAAAAGTTGGATAACTCTTACCAATCATCAAGTTAACTTTATATGACTTCCGACAATCTTGAGGCTCTACTTCATTTTTTATGGCTTTCTCCAATTTCACTCTGCCATAATGAGGGTAAAGAGCATTGCCTCTTTGCACTAACCATTTTTGAGGCAAAACCTCCACTTCATTTGTTTCCACAAAATGTGCAACAACTCATGGCATATTTAATGTTATTTTAGTGTCCACGTATCAACAACTTAAAACAATGGTAAACGAATTATTTAGATTTCATTATAAATTTAAGGTAACAGTGAAAAAAAAAAGAGAATTAATTTAAGTTTTAAGAATAAATAATATATCAGCTAACATGACAGAGTTACATTATGAAGCAGCGGCAGCAAAATATAACAGTCCTTATAAGGCAATCTAACAAATTTTGCAAAGCCAAAATTGCAATTTATTTGTCTCATTTTTCACAAGAAATATAGGGTGATTCAAAACATTTTTTTTCGCAAATTTCTAGAAGATATTAACAGTTGAAGATCGAATTTCAACTTTCTTATTAAGCATTATTTTGAAATTGTTCCATGTTTAATTGGTAGCATATT